GTATTTAACGACCAGGCACTTTCTCCTGGGTAGGCATACGGGAGTGGAAGGAAGAGCATGTCTCTCTGGGTGTGTAATTAATGCTCTGGCAGACATGGGTATCCCAATCCATGTGGAGGAAACTCTAAAATCTTGCAGGAATGTTTTCTGTGGGAGGGAAAGTGACAGGTGGTTTGTGTGGATATGAATAAGCTTTTCGGTGCGAGAGCCGCCTCTCAAGGAGCACTGCATATGCACTGAGCCTTGCAAAGTGCCCTGTATCATTTCAGCCATCCTGCAGTGCTCCAAGGGGCTGTTGAGCCAGATCTGCATAGGGGATTTGTAGCCCCTCTGTGCAGTTTTACCCCCTGGTTGCAGGGGCGGTTAACCATGAGAGAGCCGGCAGGAGCATGCTGAGACTGGAGGCAGCTCGAAGATGAGGGACAAAGCGTGTGCAAGAGTGTCCTGCAATGCAAAGCACAGCCAAGGTGCTGCGGAGCCAGGCACCTGTTGCAGATTGCCGCTGTCCTGCAGGAAAACAGCCCCAGGACCTGCAAGCTGTGGGGCGGCAGCATCTTCCTCCTGTGGGACCTACCCTGTGCACTTGTATTTAACCTAGCTTGTTCCTGGGCACTTATCTGCTCAGGCAAAGCATCGGACACTGGCATGATTTCACCAGGAGTTTTGACTCCCACGCTGAGGATACCCCCGGGAAAGCAAGCTGGATGCGTCCGACTGCCGGAGCGGGGAGCAGCGGCAGCACATGCAGTGCCCCATGGGCACAATCGCAGCGAGCCAGCAGCAGGCACAGCCATGGGGCGGGTGCTCCCGTTTGCTTTGTGCTCGGCTGTGTGTAGAGATGGCGTTCAGAGCAGCGCGGAGCGGATCACCCGGGAGAAGATGTCTGTTCCTTGGTGCTCTGCTGAGTATGGGAGTGTTGTAGTAGTGCAGGAGGCATGGAGGCTTGAAATACCGTGGTTACTTCAGTATGTTTGGGAGATTAGGACTCTTCTCAGCCCCAGGACCCACCAGGTAACGTTTCCTCCATTTTTGACCTATCTAATTCGGATTGTGTTGGTGCCAGGTGCTCTGCTGGCAGATCTGGTGTGTCCCTTGGTGAGCAGAGCCCAGGGCTGGGTGATGGGCTGGGTATGACGGGTCTGTTTGGCAGGTGTATTTGCTGTGTTTCAGCTTTTGGGTCCTGACTGTCTGTAGAGCAAGAGCAGCAGAACTGGTGCGTCCTCCAAGGAGGCTGGCTTGGACCCGAGCCAAGGCGGGGAAGCATGCATCATCGTGGGGGGAGCCACTGCTGTGCCGCTTTGGCTAGTGCCCCTCGATGTGCCAGGGCACGATTGCGTGGGGTGGCAGAAGCCCTGCAGGAGACGGGTGCGGTGCTGTGCTGAGGCACAGGGCTGCGTGTTGGCTGCATGCAGGGCGTTCATACCGTTGCATGTTCCTGAGCATGACGAGCTGCTTGGGCTCACATGGCATCCGGCTACCAGTCTGCACTGGGAACCTGGGTCTGTCCTGGGTCTGGCTTTCCTGGGACTGCCCCCTGCCCTTCACAAAAATGCCCCAGGGATGAAATGGGCTTTTTCTTGGTGAAACCCTCTTGGCCTCCTGTCCAGTCAGCCTTTGAATCAGCACCGAACTGGGGAAGTGCCATCCATCTTAGAGAGAGGAGGGCTGGAAGTCTCTCCTGCTCCTTCTTCAAGAGGCACAACAACAGGCACATTAATAGCCAGATTGATGCTGACGTGAAATGGCAGTAGAGCACGTCTACGCGGAGCTGGGAATGTCCATTCACACATGCACGCTCTTAAATGCTCCAGGCGACCAAGCAGTGCTGTCACGGTCTTGGGGGCTTTGCACAGAAACTGGAGATTTTAACTAGGTCTGATCTTCAGGAGATGCCCTGAGGACCCTGACGGAAGGAGGAGGCTGCCCAGCGCCGTGCTGTGATGGCCGAGACTTGACAGGGCTGCTCTATGTGGCACGATGGAGAGGAAAAGGCTGCCTCGAGACTGCTAGGGAGTTACCTGCCTTGCTCCCACATGGCTTTCCATGCCATGGAGAGCTGTTCAGCGAGCCGCAGAGACGGGGTCAGCCTGCCCGAATCCCCTTGCCTCACGCGCATGCATGCACCCGTGCATACACGCACGCTCTGCAACAGCACGCAGAGCTGCAAGGCGGAGTCCTCAAGGAGGAGGAGACAGAGGGAGCACCGTGCTGTGCTCGCGTGCAGCCCGCGGGCCGGCTGCGGGCTCGCAGTGCTGCAGCAGGGATGAGCTACCTGGCAGGGCCAGGCTGCGGCTGCAGGTCCCCGAGCAGGATGCTTGTTCCCCAGCAAGGCTGCTGGGCTGTGGGATTCCCCCGGCAGGCGTCGTTCCCAGCATTCCCGTGCCTCTGTTGCCATGGCGATAGTAAGGGACAATAATATTTTATTTTCCATCTAAAAACTGCCAAGCAGGTCAAGGTGAGCGGGGCAGGGGAGCCGCTGGCTGCTGCCCCGCATCCTGCATGTGTCTGCCTCCCACTGCGCCACGGCCCGCCTTGCCACTTCAACAGGAAAAAAACGTGTTTTGATTGGGGTCACACACGTGCTGTCAGGCTCTGCGGTGGGGCTGCAACGTCGGCGGCCGTTACAGGGAGAAAATGGAGAAGTTTCCTGCTGGAGGGGGCAGGGGAGTCCATCCCTCGCTGAGCAGCTGCTGTTTTGCTGCTGCCTTTGTGCAAAGGCGCAGCTGGAGACGCTGCTGAATGGAGAGCAATGAGCAACAGCTTCTGGCCTGCGAAGTTTCCTGCCCGGGAAAATGACAAACCTTTTGCAGTGTTTGCTCCTCTCACTCTGTCGACTTCACCAAAAAGCAGGTGGGCAGCTAAACACAGCCTGGAAAACCTGTAGCGCTTTGCAAAGCATATGCTTCCCAGGAGGAGCACTGGGCTCGCTTGCACGCCAGCCTGTTGCATTTGTTTTCCTAGCAGGGACACGGCCATTCCTCATGGTCACTTGTGCCAAGAGGCATTCAGAGCCATTCCCAGGGGCCTGGAGGGCCCGAGGGGCTGGAGATGCAGGCACCAGCCTCAGCTCTCCTTCAGCCTCCCCAGCACGGCTCTTCCTTACGGTGCTGAGAAAGGTGAGGAGCAGGAGCTCAGGCGTGGATGGAAGTGCCCCCAAATAGAAAAGCTGTAGGCTGGGGGTGCACAGCGACTGATTAGAGCAGAGGTGCGGGGTGCTAGAGGTGAAGGGTGGTCTCTGGTCCCCCCAGGGCGGCTCCTGTGCCCCTCGAGCCACTTGCACCCCAACACCCTCCGCATGCAGGGGAGGTTATTCCCTGCTTGCTACCAAAGAAGTCAGACAATGAAAACCCCTGATGAATCATCTCGTCAGCAAATAAAGGCACCATTGTGGGACGTACGAGATTTGACTGATAGCATTCATTCAGCAGAGGTCTGCGCTGTGCGGTGCCCACATGTGCGCACGCCACACTTCGTTCAGGTACAGGCATGGATTCTACACTGCTGACACAGGCAGCAAGTAAATAAAGAGCAGAAGAAAATGTGCAATTCCAAGTTATTGTATCACCAGCTGTCGGTTCTTTGTACATGTCTCTAAACCCTGGTAATTAGACAGAATTACGTGCCTTGAGGAGGGAGGGGGCTGGCCGGGCACAGGAGCCAGTGGCACGGTGCCACATCGCACTCCTCAATGCCAGCACCAGCTGCAGCAATGGGGAATTAAACCCTCCACTGTTCAGAACAAGCATGTTTGCCTCCAACTGACAAGAAGAGGAAGAGGAGGGGAGGACACGAATTATCATGAGATGTGACTTGTGCTGGTGAAGAGGAGGGTGCTGGGAGAGCACTCCCTGCGCTCCCGTC